GATCATTGAGAGTTGAAGCTATTGGCTTGTAATGCTATGGCTTCCATATACTTTTGCATATGTTCTCCCTTTACTCCTTTAGATGTCGATTTCCTGATATCCCACTTCAATTTGTTGTTACAATAATTCTTCTTCTTAGTCTTATTGTTTTTGATTTTTTTTTATTAATGTTGGCATATAAATTTTATAACTATTGCATGTATATTTGATTTCTGAGTTTCTATTTTGTGAAACATTTTAACATTAATATCCAAACACCGACAAACAAGTTACACAATACAATTTCACTCCCTAGATTTGCAAATACTTGGTCCTTTATTGTGCAGACAATATTATGATTTATGAAAACAAAATGGTAATTCTTAATCACAAGCTATAGGTTGGAAAAGAAAATCTTAACAAAAATAGCCTACTGAAATATATCTTTTGCAGATATTTTAATTCATCTGCTCTTTTTTCAAAAATCTAAAACCATGTTTTCTACTCGTATATTTTTAACTTTTAAGGAATTATTGGTTTATCAAATTATCATTACAACTATAGATGATGAAATGCAAAACCATTGACTTTTAAATCCCTTAGTTCACCTAACTAGATCAATTATTGCCAAAGAGCTAGACTTTCTATAACTCAGAAAAAAATTGTTTGATAAAATAAAGAATGAAAAACAAGCACAGCGGATTCAAGTTACATTTGTGTACCAATTATGTAGAAAATAAATATTTAATGACCCGACTACTTGTACAGCCAATGCTTTAGTCTTTTCGTTCAGTTTGGATTACACATTTTACACTAAATGTATCTGCTACGTCATACATATGTCAGAATGTAGTTTTTTTGGGGGGTAGAATAATGCCACTGAGCTAAGTAGGTACTATCGAACAGGCATGATGCTCTATTGTTTGATTTTACGTTTTCTATTCATAGTTGATAAAGTTCTTATGAATCTAGAAGACAACCTTTTGAGTCTAATACAAATGTGCATTCATTGTAGGCAGTAGCATTTCTAACCCTATTTGCTATCTTACAGATACTTGTTGATTCACAACGTCTTATCAGCTGCGGTGAGTCGTGGATGCACTATGCTGCACCCAGGCTATGGTTTTCTCGCTGAGAATGCTCTTTTTGTTGAAATGTGCAATGAACATGGAATCAACTTCATTGGGCCAAATGTAAGTTAATTGTGTATCGTAGAAATGTTTAGAGTGCCCATTTTTTCGTAATACCCACACCTATATATTAGTAAAGATAACATGAACTATAGAATCACCATGCCATTGTATTTTCTGAGCCTTGAAAAATTGTTGGATTTTGGGTAAATTTCTTGTTTCAAATATTTAGCCAGATAGCATAAGAGTCATGGGTGATAAGTCAACTGCAAGAGATACAATGAAAAATGCGGGTGTCCCAACTGTACCAGGAAGTGATGGATTGCTAAAGGTTATTTTCAAACCATCTTTTTTACTATGCTAGTCTTAACATAAAAACTGATATCATGGTTTCTGTCTAGCTCCCCCCTCCCTTTGTATTTCATCAAATAATGATATATCGTCACCATTTCAGAGCACTGAGGAAGCAGTGAGGCTTGCAGAGGAGATTGGTTATCCTGTTATGATTAAGGTAATTTTGTATTTGAAATTACCTGTTCCTGCTCAACACATAGCATAGGGTATGTTTTTAAACACCTACATTTTTGCTTATTTTTTTTGCAAGTAGCTTTGCAGTTATAGTGTTTGGTTTCTTAACACTTTGCTTAAATAAACTATTTCTGGAGCTGCTTAACTCATAAGCGAAAAGTAGGTTGTTACGTTACTAAACTTTTGCTTATTGCTTGTTTTAAACAACTTTTAGTGTTTAGCCTCACGATTTTCCACTTTGTTGTTAATTGAAAGTTATGTCTTTTGCTCATAAATTAAGCACTTACTCTTTTCTTTTGTTTGAAAAAACTCAAAAGCAATTAAGTAGAAAATTATATGAACGTTTACAAACAGTACCTGCTTTTCTTGTACTTAAATAATCTATTTTATGTCCAAGAAAAGCAAAAACTAAAATCTTAATTTTTGAAAGCTCTCCCATACTGATGTTAACATGGGTTCCTCTTAAAGGTGATGTTTTACTGAACCAAACAAGTCCTTCAGCAGACTACATCTTTAATTTGTATCATTTAGAAGATAGTTTATGGCTTTATGCATCTAATCACATTTTAGATCTATCTCACTGAAGCATTTCACGTCTCTTGATTTTATTTTGGATGGTTCTGAAATTTCTAATTCACACGCCACAAACACAGACACACCCACACACACACGTGTAGCTCATAATATTTTCTGCTTTGAAGGCTACTGCTGGTGGTGGTGGACGTGGAATGCGTCTTGCTAAAGAACCTGATGAGTTTGTGAAGCTCTTACAGGTTCCTTTATTTACTCTATCCATTAGGATTTCTCATATTTTTACTTCATGTATAAATCTTCTTGCTCAGAGTATCTTGAGTGTAGTTGCCCGAAAAAAAGATTTTTAGAACTATACCATATCTGTTAAGGTATATGCTCTTACTCCATAGAAGTTAACCACTGTCCTTATCTTCTCAGAATGAGCCATTGCTTTATGTTGTATTTTTTTTAAAATCAGGGGTTCAACTTCAGTCTCTTGGAAACAGCCTCTCTACTATCAAGTAGGGGTAAGGTCTATGAGTCCCCAGACCCTACTTTTGTGGGATCATACTGGATTGTTGTTGTGTAGGGGTTCAACTTTACTACTACATTATTTATGGTGATGTATGTGTATTACAGTCATTCACAACCATCAAGGAATGCTTTTCTTTTGATTACTTATTAGATAGCTACTGAAATCTGGATCCCAAGGCCCTGACTACTAAATTTGTCCTGAAAACGAACCTGGTTTATTTTGGCAGCAAGCAAAAAGTGAGGCTGCCGCTGCATTTGGAAATGATGGTGTTTATTTAGAAAAGTATGTTCAAAATCCTAGGCATATTGAATTTCAGGTATTTGTTCACAACTTCACATTCTCTTGAAATTTTTAATTTTATGACATGTACAAATTGAATTCTCCTTTATGGATTTATATAACCTGCTGCTAGAAAACTTGTTAGTTCTCACATGTAAGCACGACTTGTCTAAGTTATATACTGTAGTAGTTAGTTTGTCATCTTTAATTTTCATATCATTTTCTATTTAAACAAGCTCCAAGTCTCTCTATAAAATTCTGAATAGTTCTGCTTATTACCCCCTCCTTGCAGTAAAGTTGTTCGAGCCACATATTCATTTCCTTGAAAGGAAAAGATTGAAGTGTGATCTTTTTTTGGGACATCCCAATAAGGAAAGCGTGAGTTTTATTTGTGGGACAAATGGAGTATATTATAGTTTGAGAATGCCATAAATTAACATTAAGAACCATATGATGAAATTGAATACTACTCCGTACTATATACTTGAACATAATTTCTAAAGGATTGCATCCCCT